CTGATATGAAAAGTGCCCAAGGCTTAAGTGTGAAATGATGGGGGGGCGGGAGGGGAAGGGAGATGGACCAGCACTATACTATCCTAACTGTCACACAGTCAACTGAGGACTTCCCCTCATATGAGAAAAGAGACCACTCACCATGAACTCCCTCTTCTCCCCTTCCTTATGTATCAGAAATTATTTATATCATCCTCCCCCTCCCTACAATTGCTCTTCCTTTACTCCAGTCCCTGATGAAGAGGGTCCTTCTCCTCCCCAAGGCCAAATCCTCTACATGAACCCATAAAACCCTCCCTTTCATCTTCTCCAGCAGATTGTATGTACTTAGTCTCATACCCTCTATCTTTAACCTTCAACCTCTCCCTATATTGTGGTTTCTTCACTTCTGTCAACAAGTATATCCAAGTCTCCCTGATGGGGTATGGGCCCAAGCCGAGACCTTTGCCCCTTACCCCAAAAAGAATTTGGGTCCCATTTGTCTAAGGGATTCTCCTTGAATTCTCCCACTTGATCAAGGAGGTCTCTGGCGTTCCCCTAAGGCTATAATCCCTATCAACTGGCCTTTCATTATCACCTATGTCCAATCTCCCAATTCTGTTACCCTAAACTTAACCTAGCCCTCCATTGTCTTACCTCCCTATGGCCCCTGTCTACTTCCCACCCTTGACCCTATCTAGACCCCATTCTCAACCTCCCAGTCACTCCCATCAAAGATCCTTCCTGGATCCCTCCCACAGTCTTTCTGTATATAAGGTCTATCTTGTCTCCATTAAGGTGCTCAGATTCCTTAAGAACCTAGCCAATAGCTCACAAATGTTCAGATTCCTTAAGAGTCTGGCCAATATGGTGAATCTTTAATAAGCTTTGTCTCTGGCTGAAAGAAGGCTTGGGTTGAATTCATTTGGACAGGACCTAGGTGTCGTGATTTTGGGATCTCAGTACCCCTAAACCTCTAGATCTCATCATCCCCACAAATCAAAACTCTCACCAGACCCTACCACTCCCTCAAGCTATTATCTTATATCTTTCCTTTTTTTTAACAGACTACCACGCCTTCTTTCAAGTACCCCCTAAAACCCTCACCTTCTGCAAGAACCCTTTGCTACAACTTAGTACCTTCCCTCCATTGATTATCTCTAGCTTATGTTGTATTTATCTTATTCATACATAATTGTTTACATGTTGTTGCTCCCATTAGAATGTGATATCCTTGAGAGTAGGGATTGTCCCCACCATTTAGCACAGTATCTGATGTATAGGAGGCACTTGATAAATGGTTGTTGACTGATTTTGCTTTCTTTTCTTTCCCTTCTCAGCCCTTTGCAATCTGGCTTCCGACCTCACCAATCAACTGAAACTGCTCTCTCTAAAGTTACCAAAGATCTCTTAATTGCCAAACCTGATGGCCGAGTCTCAGTCCTAATCCCTCTTGACCTCTCTGCAGCATGGGATGTTGCTGACTGCCCTCTCCTGCTGGATCATCTCCTTTCTTTGGTTTTTGTGACACTGCTCTTGGTGGTTCTCCTCCTACCTGTCTGACTGTGCCTTCTCAGACTTCTTTACTAGATCATCATTCATGTCACGTCCACCAACTTGGGTGCTTCCCAAGGGTCTATCCTGGCACCTGTTCTCTTCTTGGTGACCTCATCAGCTCCCATGAGTTTAATTATCATCTCTATGTAGATAACTCCTGGATATCTAGTCCTATATCCCCATCTGCCCATTAAACATTTTGAAACAGATGTTCCCCTCAAACTCAGCAGCTCCAAAAGAACTTATTATCTTCCCCTACTCACACACACACACACACACACACACACACACACACACACACACACACATTCTTCTTCTGAACTCTCAATGAAACCACCATCCTCCCACTTGCTAGACTTACAATTTCAGTGCACCATCTTTTACTCCTCACTTTCACTTTCCCCACATATCCAACCCATTACCAAATCTTGTTGTTTCTACCACCACAGCATATCTCATTTGTCCCCTTCTTACAGCGGCCACCCTAGTTTAGGTTCTTATCATTTCTCACCTAGAATATCACTGTAGCCTGATAATTGGTCTCCCCACTTCAATTCTCTTCTCCATTCCTGTCTACCCTTCACAGACTAAGTGATTTTCCTAAAGCACAGGACTGACTGTGTCACTCTCCTTCTCAATAAACCCCCGTGGCTCCCTTGTTGCCTCTAGTATCAAGTACATATTCCTCTATTTGGCATTTAAAACCTTTCACAAGCTGGCCCTATCCTGCTTTTGCAGCCTTTTCCTCACTCTACAATCCAGTCAAACTGGCCTTCCTACTGTTTCTTAGATATTATCTCTCATCCCTCTGCCTTTACACTTACTACCCCACCCTCACCCCCATGCCTACAGTACATTCCCTCCACATCTTTACTCTTAGAATCCCTAGTTTCCTTCAAAACTCGGCTCAAGCACCACATTCTACCCAAAGCCTTTTCTGATTCCCCTAGTTGCTAGCACCTCCCCTCAAAAATGATTTGGCATTTATTCTGAATATATTTTACATACTTATATAGGTACATGCTGCCTTTCCTGACAGAATGTAAGCTCCTTGAAGGCAGGAAATATTTCATTTTTGCCTTTGTGTCTCCAGTGTCTATTTAGCAGGCACTAAACAAATATTTTGGATTGATTGAACCATAGAGAGAAGGATGTCCTAAAATGCACCCCTTGTTGCATCAACCCCTTGTTGATAGAGTAAAACATTTACTGTCCAAGATGAACATGGGGCTGCCAGCACCTGAACCTTTAGCACTGAAAAAGATCAGGTAATTGGTCTGAGTACTCCCTGTCTAGTTAAAGAAAAAGCAGTCAATCCTCAACATTCCCAAGCTTAACTTTTGTGACTTTAAGCATTTGCCCAACCGCACACATTCACAGCTATGCATGGTAGAGAAAAAAAATGAGAGGCACAGTGCGTGCAAGTTTGGGAAGCAGCTGGTGTCCTACTAGGTGCTTCACTAGTCTTGTCCACCTGCCCTTATAGAGCAAAGAGGTCCCTGTGCATTCGTGGCTTCTTTTCTTTAAGTCAGCATTTATTATTTTTTATTATTTTATTTATTACATATAATTATTTATTTTATTATTATTATTTAAGTTCAGGAACAGGTTATGAAGGAGTAGGGGCACATTCTGAACAGAGAGTCCAAGGTGCAGCCCTAGGAGAGGGGGAGGAGGGAGGAAACAGGGAGAGCAGAGCTTCTCCTCTGTATCTGCTCTAGACGGGCTTGATCCTGATTTCTGAGCCTTGTTCCAGGGCACATAATGAAGCACATGATAAGATGAAGGTCCAGAGGGGTACAATTTTAGGAAAACATCAAGGGGTGATCAAAGTTACATGTCCAACCAAAGGTGGGGCCTGGGATTCTCCTTGGATCAGAAGCACCGTTTCTTTTTAGGAACTGAAGCATAGTGATAAGTTCCATCCCACTTATTTCAACTGTTATGAAACATTCTTGTAGTTAAAGTCTTTGTGCTAAAGAATTCTTTCATCGCCTAACTTCTTGCACTTTGCTTCTGGTTTATTTGAATATGCATCCAACTTGTAGCTGCTACTTGCTCCTGAATTAAAGTGATCTGATCCAGATAAGGCTGAAGTGCTGCATATTTCTGATTTAAGTCCTTTAGGTTTCTACTTATGTTTACTGCAATATCTTTCATTTCGAGATACTTCAAGCTAGTCAGTTTGTTCATATTTTCCAGAAGTTTATAGTCTTCACTGGTGGCTGTCGGCTCACCTGTTAGGTACGTGGCCATTTTGGAGAACATGTCCTGGCACAGCCCCACGATGTTCTCCCAAGGCATTGTGTAGTTTGGGGACGGGAGGAAGGAGAAAGGATAGAAGGAAGGAAGGGGTGGGAGGAGAGGGGGAAAGGGAAGGAGAGGGAATGGAGAGGGGAGAGGAAAGGAGGGAAGGGGAGAAGGAAGAGGAGAAAAAGGGAAGGGTGAAGAGTCTGAAAAAGGAGATAAGAGCTCGTTGCTTATTGTCATTGTTTGCTTTTAAAACTCAAGTTTCCTATTGCAATTATGCCCCCCAAAGCATAGTGCAAATCCTGTGGACTATAAACCCCAGCACACAAGGTCAATGATGTGGTTTAGTGAGAAAATAAAGGTGCCAGATAAATATAATGCTGGAATGTCTGCAGCCAATGAGGGCTTTGAGTTTTATACCTGCAAAAAGGAGGTAAGCATTGGTAAAAAGCGTTCATGAATCCACTCCAGAAAGTGTTAAAGTAACCTCTCAAGTGAGCAATCTCTAGTGAAAAATTAGTTTTTAGTGGTCCTGGAAATCTAACCATCTATTTCCCATCGGTTCAATGTATCAACATTCATGGTTGTTGGGTTTTTTTTATTTTTTAAAGATTGATTGTAAATACACAGGATTATGAGTGAGGGAACCTAGGTTCTAGACCCAGATCTACCCCTAAATTTGCTGTGTCACCTGGAGAAAAACACTTCCACCTTTCTGGGGGCAACATGAGTACATTCACAGAGAGCCACTGTGGAACAATGAAAAGAACATGGTATTTGCCTCTGCCACCAGTTGTATATCCTTTCACAAGTCACTTAATCTCTCTGAGACTCAGTTTCTGTTTGTAAAAATAGGAGGAGATGGACTGGACTAGATGGTCTATAAGGTCTTTCCAATTCTAGATTTAAGATCTCATTAGTTGTTTCCTCATCTGTAAAATTAGGAGATTGGACTCACTGATTTTTTTTTAATTTTTTATTAATTTATTTGGATTTATCAACAATCACTTCCATAAGCTTTTGAGTTTAAAATTTTTCTCCCCCTCCCTCCCTAAGATGACCCACAATCTGATATAGGCTATACATACATTCTTATTAAACATATTTTCACATTAGTCATTTTGTAAGGAAGAATTAGAACCAACAGGAGGAACCACAAGAAAGAGGAAACAAAACAAAACAGAAGAAAAAAACAGCAAATAGTACGCTTCAATCTGCATTTAAACTCCATAGTTCTTTCTCTGGATGTGGATAGCTTTTTCCATCCCGAGACTTTTGGAGATGTCTTAGATCCTTGTATGGCTGAGAAGGGCCAAGTCTATCGTTAGTCATCGCACGATGTGACTGTTACTGTGCACAGCGTTCTCCTGGTTCTGCTCACTTCACTCAGTGTCTGGACTCACTGATTTCTAATGGCCGTTCTGATCAGTTCCCCCTGCCCCTGGGGTCTGTCTTTCTCTCTAACTGGAGAGGGTGGAGGGTGGACAGCAGAAAGTTCCTCTCAGATCCTCCATTTAAGGAGGGCGCCAAGGGCAGCTGCTTCTTAATTTTCTACCCAGCTACAATCCTCTGAACTTCACCATGCCTTCATGCCAGGCATCCTCCCCTTTGATTCATCCTTTTTATGTGTTGTCTCCCCCATTATATTGAGCTCCTTGAGAGCACGGACTGTCTTTTGCCTCTCTTTGTATCCCCAGGCTTAGCACAGTGACTGGCACTTAGTGGGTTCTGAATGTTTATTGATTGATTGATTGATTCTAACATTGTTATTGGATGGCTCTCTGAAGTAACTTTAATGGGCTCTGGGGATTTCAAATTCTGCTGTGGAAAGTTAAAAAAGAAAAAAGAAAAAAAATTCAACCATATCCTAAGTTGTTCTGAAAACAGCCAGTATGATTAGTCACATCTGACATTTTTAACCTCCAGAGCTGATTTGCATAAATGTAATAAAACCTCACATATCATTTTCAGAAATCACTATGGAAAAAAAAAATCTCCCTGGACTCTAAAATTCATACTGACCTCATCCATACTCTTTCTCCCTCTCCCCCCAATTCTCACCTCCGTTTCTTCCATAGGGGCCTCTTTCTTGTGGTTCCTCCTATTGGTTCTAATTCTTCCTTACAACTTTTGGTATCCAAGGGCAATGAGGAAAATTCTCATGGATACTTGGAAAGGAAAAGAAACATCTATTTCATGTATTCTGGTCTCATTGCCTGATTTCCTTCAAGGCTGGCAATGAAGTGTTTTTAGGTCTTAAGCATCAGAATCAGTGCTGGGTTTAAGTCTGGATGGGAGAGAGGTGGGAAGTCACATTGAGAAAGCACTATGACATTATAAGAAACATAGTGATCTGGAGCCCAATGACCTAGGACTGTTTGTTACCCATGTGATCTTAAACGTGTCACTCTTCTCTCTCTGAGTCTCAGTTTCCTCTTCTGTAAAAGAAGGTTAGACTGAATGATTTCTAAGATCCCTTCCAGTTCTGAAGCCTGTAATTCTATGACCTATAACCCCTGTAAATGGAGGTCACTGGAGGGATCCTTACTCATTACACCCATCCTTCTCTTCTCTGATTTATATCTAGCTCTATAACCCAGGCACTCAAGTTCCAAATTCCATCATAAGTCATCCCTGAGGGCATTGCATTTTATTTTTTCTTCATCCACCCTCCAACCCCAGAGTCAGCACTTGGTACAAAAAAATACCCTTCACATTTAGGGTGGCATCAATGCTATCAGACGTGTGGGCAGATCTTTTACAGCTGGTGAGTATTTGGAGGTGTACTGGTAAATGTTTAACAACTGGCTCTCTGGGGAAAAAAACACTCATGACATTTTTAAGTGTAATCTACATTAACATTTTATCCATTTCTTTCCCAAGTCTATATAATCAACACAATAATAAATCAAACCCTGACTTGCAGCATTTGCCCATTTCTGAGGTATAAATATTTATATTGAAAATTAAACAATTAGCTCTCATGAGCCAAGTCAAGCTAAATCAAGCACATACCTGGATGTGTTCCCCTCCTGACCTGCTCCCCCTACACAAACCCCTTCAGAACTCAAATATAGTATTTCTAGGGCTAGGCTTTCCAAAAACAAAAGTATTTTGAAGGACCTGTTTACTTTCCCTTGATCCTTGAAACAGATCAATTTTTGAGGGGAGACCAAAACACAACTCTCACTTGCTGTCTTTTGACATGAGAATTGCAAGTCTAATCCCTGTTGCCCAATATTTACAACTCTAGTACAGAGTCCAAAAGGAAGATAAAACCTGCGTAAAGGGTCTTCTTGACTCCCAAGTGAATAGCTCATTAAGGACCATTTCAAAAGCTTCAGGGATATAGGCTTCTTTAACACGGATTAGGAGAATTGTGGGCCAAGACCCTGTTAACAATATTTCATCTTCCTCATCCCTATACTTACAGAAACTGCTCACCAGCAGACTTTTACTTCATGAAATTCCAAACTGAAAACAGACTCCATCAATTTGCTCTTTTTAATAGCCAAAGATTGTTTATAGCCTTTGACCCAGGGAGACCACTGCAGGGCATATATCCCAACGAGTTCAGAACAAAAAGTAGGGTCCCATAGATGGCCAAATATTCATAAAACGATTTTTGTAGTAGCAAAGAACTTGAAACAAAGTGGGTGCCCAGTAACTGGGGAATGATTGAAGGAATTGTGGGACATGAATAAAATGGAATGGTATTATATTATGAGAAATGACAAATATGAAGAATTCTGAGAAACATGGGAAAATCTGTATGAACCAATTAAGTAAGCAGACCCAGGAAAATAACATACACAATTAATACAGTAACATATATGAGAAAGAAGACTAATACAAACCTAAATTTGCCATACAAATGAAATGATCAATCTTAGCCTCTGAGAGGAGATGAGGAAATATATCTCCAACCTTGCTTCAGAGAAATGAGGGGACTATAGGTTGCATCCATCATCAGACTCTCCCTTTGTGAGTTGGCTTTCCTCATGAGAGAAGGCTCACTGGGTCAAAGTGGAGAGTGATTGAACGTGGGTGGGGAAGGGAGAGACAGGATTTCCAAAAATGACTGGGATATAAAACAAAAACATCATTTAAAAAAATGTTGATCCTTATAGATCTCAGAAAGTCTTCAAAACAGATGTGCAATAATTTTATCTGGCTCAACAACATCTCCTTTGGTAACCTCCAGTTCTCCACACATATTCCTTATGCATTGGTTAGGTCTCATGGCTATAAAATAGAAGGACTTCTCATTGGCTCACAGGATTTCAAACTGGAAGAGACCATATGGAACATTCAGTCCAGCCTCTTCACTTTCTGGGGTGATGGAGGCAGGGGAGTGAAAGGGAGGAGACTAGGTACTATAACAGGGAAGTGACTGTCTAAGCTCATCTCTCACACATATATGATTTATCCAAAGTGATCCAGATCCCCTGATGCTTGCTATGCTCTGTCACGTTTGTAGTGAGTGAACAGGGCACTAGAAATACTAGCTGGACTATTTTAGTAGTAGTCCAATTGAGAAAATCCTATCTGCCTTTCTGAGCCCCCATGTGTAACCAACAATCCCCCCAAAATTGCCAAAATCAAAAACGAATGTTGCAAATTACAAAGAACAAGCACGGCCTCAGAGAAAAGATATGAGAAGACACTGCTTCTCACTCCTTCGCAGAGGTGAGGGGTCCAAGGGCATGGATCATTACATTTTTTTATTCAATGCATTAATCAGTTTTAATGATTTTTTTCTCTTCTCTCTCTTTTCAAAAATTCTTTGCTATATGAAATAACTCTCTGGGAAGGGGAAAAGGAAGGAATATAGGGGAAAATGTAAGTGATATAAAAACAAAAGTTATCAATACAAATTCATTTCTAAAAAGAAATAAAGTGGAACAAGTCAATGAAAGTTGGCAAAAATAGAGGAGAGAACCATTTGCGTGAGAAGTCAGTAAGGTAAAACCTTATGGACTCAGGCACACAAAAAGTTAAAGAAGAAACGTTACAACATAGAACATCTAATATCAGAGCTCAGAGGGCTAGAA